CATTCCTGAAGTTAATGTGCTTTTCAAAGAGCTAGTCCAGTGCAGAAAGGTGCACAATTGCTTTCAGATGTTATGTAGTTAAAACAAGAGCTATCCCAAGTCCCTCCCACCCCTCGCAGCCTCACCTCGAAGCAGGACGGGTCTACACCTCGGGCAGTAGCAAGGACCCCAGCGAGTACGGATGGGGAGGGTGCTGGAGGTGGGGGAGTGTTACACGGCTGGTTCTGACTGAAGCACATTTTCACACGAACCGAACTCCAGCACAAACACCGAACAGCACTCAGACAAAAGGCACCTGCCGTGCGCGAGCCCCGACTACGCTATGTGAAACTGGGCTTCCTAGGATGAAATCCACAACCAGAAGCAATCCCCTTTCATCTCCATTCTCTGTAAACCCTACCTCTGATAGATGCTACTGAACTGGTTCATCCTTTAGCCAAGTGAACGTAACTCCTTTGAGATGATTTTCCCTATTGACTGACACTCAAATAGCTGCATCGTGCATGTGTGGTGAAAAGTTCGGTTCTGGCAGTTACCAGGCCTTGTGCTGGAGACGTTCAGACTCAGCTTCCTACACACCAACAACTACTCACATCATGTATGAAGCACACAGATTATTAATGAGGTCCTCTGAAATCTTCCTTGTTTGGTAAGGCACCAGTGTGAGATGGTTTTCAGAGTTTTATCATCCTACTTCCACTGTGCTTCTGAACAATGTTGCCAGGCTGTTAGTTTTATTTGATCTGATTTTTTTAAGGCAGATAACACACTAGGAATCCAAGGCAAAATTTGCATCCCAGGCAACTGCTTCCGGGTTAGTGGCACCCACAAGCTCTTACGACCATATTCCTGTATTTTTTCAGGATGACGTTGGAGTTGTCGTCAAAGTAAAGAACTGAGATGGCATTTAGCTTCGTTGGTGCACAGCACGGTTTGGGGACGTACTCGGGATTCATAAGGTGAACCTAGTTCAAAACAGAAGGGTTGAGAAAGGGACCGTTAGAACCGACACCTGGTCTTGCTGGTCTTGGCTCGGCTAGCCACGAAGGGAAGTCTCCCGAGCTCACCAGGGTCTGCACGATGGCGTGGTTGGTGGCGTTCATGTGCGCGTTGAGTGGGAAAGAACACTCTCCGTCGCAGTAATTGGCGGCGTAGCCCTTGGGCGCAATGATCCAGTCCTTCATTGGAAAGCAAAAGGAAGCAACAGAGAATTGATGAACAAGTTCTTCCCTCGCCATCTGCACTCTCAGCCATGCTGGGAGGAGGTTGATGCACGTTGGACAGGGAAGGAGACACACAGGGAGGAGGACAAATTTGCCCAAGTTCTCATTCAAGGTCCAAAGCTTGTCACTCTGACTCCAGCACCCCTCCATCCCTCCACACTGCTGGAGTGGCCACCCTGTTAGCCCCAGAGGCACGCAGGTGCCTGGTTGTTTTTGTTTTGTTTTGTTTTTGAGAGGTTTTTGCTATAGGGCACGTGCGCTCGCCAGAAAGTCAGAGAGAGACAGAGAGACAGAAAGCGAAAAATCACCCCCCAGGGAGGATGGCCACACCGCAATCCCTTCTCCCCCGTTCTCCTCTCGGGATCTTGGGCACGCACGCACATGCGCCCGGAGTGAGTTTTAAGCCACCGGGTCCGGGACTCAAACCGTGGTCAACTACATGGGAGTCCAGCAACATAGCCATTACGCTAACTGCTGGTCCCGCAGGTGCCTGGTTTTATGTCCTGGGACCCAAAGGAGCCTCTGCTGGAGAGGTCATGCCACTTGAGTGTGGAGACTACATCCTATCACTCGTCACCTGTGATTCAACATGTCCCTTCCGAACCAGTAGTTCTCAGGTGTGGGGCAGTGCATGTGCGCTCTTCTAGAAAGTTCAGGTAAGCTACTTTATAGCCAATGAAGAAATTAGGCATTAGGTCAGCTTTTTCAAACCCTGGTTCAAAACAAAGTTGGTTTCAAATCTTGTTTCAAACCATTAAAACTGCACTTTGAGGGGAGCAGCAGTTAGCGTAATGGCTACGTCACTGGACTCCCATGTAGTTGACCGTGGTTCGCGTCCCAGACCCGGTGGCTTAAAATTCATGCCGGGCGCATGTGCGTGCATGCCCAAGATCTTGAGAGGAGAATGGAGAAGAGATTGCAGCATGGCCATCCCCTCTGGGGGGGTGATTTCTCGCTTTCTATCTCTCTGTCTCTGTCTGTCTGGCGAGCGCACGCGCCCTATAGCAAAAGCCTCTCCAAAAAAAAAAAAAACCTGCACTTTGAAAGCGTGAGATGGGAGTATTGGGAATTTGGGTATCTGATTCAAGGGATTACAGAGTTTGGGGGACCCCAGAAAGGTTCCAGTGGAGGTGTCTGGGGCACCCGTAGGCCGGGTCTCCCTCCGCCTCAGTCCAGAAGCCTGAGCATTCATGAGGCTTCTAAGCATGTCCACAGAGTGATCCCGGCAGCCAAAGGTCTAGGTCTTGATGCCGGTGCCGCTAGTAGGATGAGAAGAAATGGCCGAGAAAGGACTTCTGTCCTTGCTCGGAGGACTCACCTGCCATCCCAGGTCCTGGAAGCTCACGTAAAGTTCATGCTTCTTGCAGGCTGCTTTTAACTCACTGCTGTTGTAATCTGTTGGAAGAGATTCAAAAGTGCACATTAGCTCATTCATCCCTTCCTTTACACACCTGCAAGCAGAGTGTGCCACGTGCCAGGCACTGTGGCGGTCTCGAGAGAGCGGTGAGCCAGGCCCTGTGGGACATAGCCCTCATCATCCACCAGGCCCGTGCCAGCTGTCTGCTCGAACATTTCACATTCTGTCCACTCTGGGTCGGTACTGGGCACGCTGTTAACCTGAACGGATGCCTTTCAGCAACAAGTATGCAAGGCCCATGGAGGGGTGTGCCAAGATGCCCAGAACACCCTGCAGGTGCCTGGCTTAGAAGACTCCTTCTCATTCTCGGGTGACTGCACCCGGCAGGATTTGATGAATTTCAAGCAGGGGTCATCTTGAAGCTGCACAGGGGCTTTGAAGGTAGTGGCTGGGCCAGGAGGGACCTGAGGGAAGAGTGGTGAAACAGGGTTAAGTAGGAGGCCTGGGAAAGGCCGAGAGGAAGATACCGCACGGAGGCCACACCCCCTCTCATGGTGCCCCAGCCTCGCTGCAAGGCTAAGCCCTTTCGCTTGCACTATAGCGATGATCCCTAAGCCAGCAGTTCCCTGGGAGAAGCCGGGTGTAGAACATCACCCTCCAGTGCTGGGTGACACAGGAGCCCGGCTCAGCCTAGCACCAGCCACAGGCCCGGGAGCACCCTCATTCGCGCAGGCCTTTTAGCCACTCTGCACATGCTTTCTGGCTGGCACCTGGGAAACCGGAAGATACATCAGACGCGGCTTCTGTCCTCCAAGAACTTAGAGAACCCCCGGGGTGGGGGGAGACATGCGCAGGAGTAACTCACGCAGCTCGGAAGACGAATGCTACAGGCCAGGCCAGAGGCAAATACCACTGGGAGCTTAGGAACGCGACAGCTCGGTACAAGTGTGAGACGAGAGAATGCCGTTCTGTTGGAACGACGTTGAGGGGCCGGGCAGGGTGCTGCAGGAAGGCAAATAGACCCCGCAGGACAGGGCCTGGGTGTGCACGGTGGGACCTCCCTGAGCAGAGGATCCAGGCTGGCTAGGCGGGACGGGTTACCATGTAAAGACGCTGTGATGGGGGGACCAGCAGATGGCGCAGTGGTTACGTCACTGGACTCCCACTTAGTCCACCACAGTTTGAGTCCCGGACCCAGTGAATTAAAACACGTGTGTGTGTGTGTGTGTGTGTGTGCCCAAAATCCCAAGAGGAGGCTGGAGGAGAAGAGATGGCAGTGTGACCATCCGCCCCTGGGGAGTGATTTCTCGCTTTCTGTCTGTCTCTCCAGCGAGCACACATGCCCTATGGCAAAAATCTCTCAAAAACCCAAAACCACAAAACCCGGTGATGTTTGTCTTACTCTTCATCTCTCCCTCTTACTCATGGAAACAATAAAGAAATTTAAAAAAAAAAAAAAAAAAAAAATAAGAATATAGGGACCAGCAGTTAGCGTAATGGCCATGTTGCTGGACTCCCATGTAGCCGACCATGGTTCACGTCCTGGACCCGGTGGCTTAAACCCATGCTGGGCGCATGTGCGTGCGTGCCCAAGATCCCGAGAGGAGAATGGAGAAGGGATTGCAGCATGGCCATCCCCTCTGGGGAGTGATGTCTTGCTTTCTGTCTCTGTCTCTCTCTGTTTTTCTGGCGAGCCCATGCACCCTATTGCAGAAACCTCTCCAAAAAAGAATTTGTAAAGAGGAGTCAAGTGAGAGAAAGCTGGAAACTAAATGGCAATCATACCATTGGAGGTTTTCAAGCCAGCGAGGCACACGTGTCGAGCTCTGATTTGAAAGGACTAATTAATCTTGTTAGTGGTGCTTGAGTTCCCGAGAGGGCAGAATGGAAGGGAAGGAGAACTTGGGAAAGTTTTTACTCCAACATGGACGTCAACGCCTACGAGCGCCCAGCTCCTTTGTGGGCTACCTCCACCTTCTCACCACCCCAGCTATTATGGTTCTGAACCATGGAAAGCCGACTTGAACAGTTTGCTGTTGTTTTTTCTCAGACACCTGAACTTCCTGGCCTTGAAGCAAGAGAATGAGCATGCAGAACTCAGTCATTATCTTGTAAATGAGGAGCTGGCAGGTGGCATGGTGGTTAAGGTGCTGGACTCCCACATGGCCAAATGTGGTTTGAGCCCTGGACCTGGCGGCTTCATCCCTTACTTTCCTTTCTTTTTCTCTCTATCTCTCTCTGGTCAAATTTTAAAAATATTAATAAATTTTTTTTTTTTTTTTTTAAAAAGAAGAAACAAATGGCACCATCTCAGACTAGTGATCTATACTGGGAGTGGAGCCAGGCCAATATTTTGAGTTGGCTTTCTAGTTCTGAATCTGCTCATTCTTCCCACCTGCCTATCTCACTTCACAGAGCCACTCTCCCTGCAGCTTCAAGTTCCCAGGAGAAGCAAATGCAAAATTTTCACAGAGGAAAATTTTCACAGTGCAATACATGAGGAATTGCTCAGTCAAAACAGTCAGCCTTCAAAACAAGTCCTTCCTGCT